TCCTTGGAAGAAAAGCTATGACCAACCTAGACAGTATATTAAAAAGCAGAGACATTACTTTGCCAGCAAAGGTCCGCCTAGTCAAAGCTATGGTTTTTCCAGTAGTCACATATGTATGTGAGAGTTGGACTATAAAGAAAGCTGAGCACTGAAGAATTGATGCTTCTGAACTGTGGTGCTAAAGAAGACTCTTGAGAGTCCCTTGGACTGCAAGGAGATCCAACCAGTCCATCCTAAAGGAAATCAGTCCTGAATATTCATTGGAAGGACTGATGCTGAATCTGAAAATCGAATACTTTGGCCACCTAATGTGAAGAACTGGCTCCTTGGAAAAGACCCTGATGCTGGGAAAGATTGAGGGCAGGAGGAGAAGGGGACAACAGAGAATGAGGTGGTTGATGGCATCACTGACTCAATGGAGTTGAGTTTTGAGTAAACTCCAGGACTTGGTGATGGACAGGGAGGCCTGGCGTGCTGCAGTCCATGGGGTCGCAAAGAGTCAGACACAACTGAGCAACTGAACTGAACTGTACAGGTATAGAAACTGAGGCTGCAGGAGGGCATGCTGCGTGTGAGTAGCAGAGCCAGATGAACCCAGAACCTACCTCGAGCTGGGACTCTTAACCACTGCATTCATGCTGCCTGTGTTCACACATTTCTGTGGCTTCTTGTCAGTGACCTCCAGCCCTCAGCCATTGAGCCTGTGATGTGGATTATCTCATTGAATCCTCACAACCAGCCCACATGATGTATGTATCTTTATGAGCCCCATTTTACAGAAGAGGAAACTGAGGCCTGAGAGGTAAAGGCGCTGCCAAGGGGTCTGATAGTCTTGGAGATGGTTGGGCAGACGGCAGTAGCTTTGGTTTGGGAAGTCGAGGTGTCTCACAAGGCAGGAAGCAGGAAGCCCTGAGGCCCCCTCACCCCACGTGGATAAGCCTGAGCATCTACAAGGTTCAGGGCTGGATGTGGGGCATCGGGTCCTGCCCTCCCCCACACAGTCTATCAGAACACGGACCGAAGCTGGCAGATGAGAATGGTGGCATGTTGTGAGTGTTGTCACAGGGGAGCCCCCGAGAGGGTCCCTAACCAGCTTGGGAAGGCCCCTGGCTTCACGACCCCAGGCACATTCAGCGTGTCTCCAGGCAGGAGGAACACCTCAGTCAAGGTGGCCAGGGAGGCAGCCTCGGACTGCAACCTTATCTTTCTGCTGCTCCGGGTCTTAGTTACAGCACCTGGGGTCTTCCATCTTGGCTGTGGCATGCCGGATTTTTTATTTGTGGCATGTGGGATCCATTTCTCTGAGCAGGGTTTGAACCCGGGACCCCTGCATTGGGAGTGTGGCGTCTCAGCCACTGGGCCACCAGGGAAGTCCTGAAAACTTTACCCAGTGTCAGCCACAGCAGAATATTCTGCTGCTCAAAAAAGAGTCTTTTTCCACCCACCTCAACTCCTGCTCTCCTGTGCCCCCGGCTCTCTGGAAAATTGGAACTTAGCCAGTTCTTTCTCCATCCCTGTCTTTGCAGAATAGCAGCACAAGGGCCAGGGTTGGCTGAGGCCTGGACCAAGCTGTGGCCAAGAAAGGCCAGAGCTGTGCATTCTGGGGCAGTTGCACAGTGGAATTTCCATCTGGCATTGGCTGTGGCCACAAATACCTCCCTTCCTTCCTGTCCTGCCTGCCTCCACCCAGCCCTAGTACCAGCCCTTTGCCAACATTGAACAGGTATAAGGAGGCCATCCTTGTTTATCCCTCTGGGTCTAGGTTTCTGCTGGCTGGAATTCAGATGTGATGGCTTGAGCTTCAGCAGCCATTTTGGGTTCCCAAATGGATCAGCCTGGCTAACTCCCTACCTTCTGTCTCTCCTTCCGAGAAAACTAAAGGAACTAGTGTTTATGACGTACGTACTGTGTACCAGGAGCTGTGCCTTGTGGTTTGCATTATTTCTTCCCACCACTCCCATGAGATGGGTTTCACTAACTCTAACTGGGTAATGTCCCTTTTTTAAAAGTGTTTTGGGTCATATTTGGAGCAGAACAGTTCCTGCCAAGTCTCAGGCTCTTAAACTCTTTGAGCAGATATTCAAGGTGTGAGGTATCATGGACCCTCCTCCATGACATTTTTACCAATCGAGGAGCTGGTGTTCAGGACGTTGTACAGACTCACCTCGTTACTAGTAAGAGACAGAGCCAAGTCTAGAACCCCGATTCTCTGACTCCAAACTTAGGTGCTTCCTAGCACCACGCAGCCACTAATGTCCACCCTCTAGGAAAGGATGCCTCCCTACCTCGACTTCCACCCTGAACCCAGGGGTCTGAGAAGCCTCTTCTGTGTGTATGCATATGTGTGTTTTCACTGAATGGTGTTCAAAAGCAGTTGTACAGAAAAGAGCAAGTAGGCAGGTTCTGATTCTTATGAGAAAATAACAAAACTGTACAGGGAATTGTCTTTTGTGTTCTTGAAAAGTCATTGGAATAACCCAGTGTGATTTGTGATTCGAACGGAAACGCTGATGCTACCAGCCGAGCCTTTGTGTAGTTTCTTCAGATTTTCCCAGTAAGCCTCCCCCTCTGTTTTCCTGTCTTCTTCTTCTTAAACCAAAAACTTCCTCTTCAGTCTTGAGCGACTGTTCAGTCTTGTGCTTGCCTTTGGCACTAAAGCAGGCCCCCTAAGCTGGCTGGGGAGAGCGTGAGGCTCCGTTTCAGGGAGAAGATTTGAGCGAAGCAGCTTCCACATTCAGCTTCTCAGACACTGCACACATCTGCACTTATCACATGCTGCATGTCTTTAAGCAAACCACCGCCCCTCTCTGGGCTTCTCTTCTCTCATCTATAAAACGAGAATGATTTTTAAGGTCTTCCCCACCACACACTTGATTTTCCGTGAAGAGAGAATGGATTCAGAGCCCAGCTCTGACATCTGTGTGACCCTGGGTGGGTCCCTTTATCTCTCTGCCTCAATTGCTCCATCTGCAGTTAGCAGCCAATACCCGTCAAAGGAGCATAGCCAAAAAAATGTATTTCCTCCAGTGTATTAAGGACCCACTGTGTATCAGGCGTTGTCCATCATCACGGTTAGGCGTCGGCACTCCAGTTACACCCCTGTTTCTCACTGACAGTATCCCAATACAGAAACAGAGAAGTCTCTTCTCTCAGGAGGGGAGCAGCTACTTCTTGGCCCTTGTGTAGGATGCTGTCCATAACAGAGGCCCAGATGAAACACACAAGAGGTGATGCTGCCACACAGGAAAAGGCCAGAAGAGGCGTTTCAGGGCTGGGGTAGAGGCGCCACAGCCTTCAGGGGCCACAGTTCTCTGTCTTGCCACTCTGCCATCCTTACATGGCTCACGGTGGCTGCTGGAGCCCTGGCTATCCCGTCTGCATTCCAGCCAGCAGGAAAGAAGAAATAGGGAGACAGCAGAACCACTCCCCCTTTTAAAGAGGCTTCCAAGCAGCACTGAATAACACTGTGCTTCATCTCATAGGCCAGAGCGCATCACCATAGTACACTCACCGGCCAGGGAGGCTGGAGAATATGCCCAGCTATCACTTGTTCTTATGACTAAGCAGAAGGAGGAGAGTGAATTGTGGAAAGCACCTTGCAGTCTTTCCAGCCGTAGCTCTGTTTTCGATTTCAGAACTGTTCCTGGGGGAGCCTTCAGAGCAGCCCTCTGGTCACTGTCCCCACTTTACAGCTGAGGCAAGTGGAGGTCAGAGGGATACAGGGCTTGGCCATGATCCTTCAGCTGGTGAGCCCTCCCACTGTAACCTAAAGCTGCAGGCAGAGAACGGGGACTTCCGTCTTTCCTGCCCCCACAGGACCCAGACTCTGTAGAGAAGCTTCCTTTTGTTGTTCAGTCACCTAGTCGTGTCTATTTGTAGACCGCGTCACGCCAGGCTTCCCTGTCCATCACCAACTCGTGGAACTTGCTCAAACTCATGTCCATTGAGTCAGTGATGCCGTCCAACCGTCTCATCCTCTGCCACCCCGTTCTTCTCCTGCCTTCAATCTTTCCCAGCATCAGAGTCTTCTCCAATGAGTTGGCTCTTCAAATCAGGTGGCCAAAGTATTGGAGCTTCAGCATCAGTCCTTCCAATGAATATTCAGGGTTGGTTTTCTTTAGGATGGACTGGTTTGCTCTCCCTGCTGTCCAAGGGACTCTCTAGAGTCTTCTCAAGCTTCACTTATCTTTGTGTAATAAATTCTAGAGCAGCCTTGAACCCAGAGGCTCCCCACTCACTCTGGATTGGAGAATCACTGGGGCTTGGAGTTGGGGTAGTGGCGGTGGGCTGGAGAATCACTGGGGCTTGGAGTTGGGGTGTTGGCGGTGGGTTGGAGAATCACTGGGGCTTGGAGTTATGGTGTTGGCGGTGGGCTGGAGAATCACTGGGGCTTGGAGTTGGAGTGTTGGCGGTGGGTTGGAGAATCACTGGGGCTTGGAGTTATGGTGTTGTCGGTGGGCTGGAGAATCACTGGGGCTTGGAGTTGGGGTGGTGGCGGTGGGCTGGAGAATCACTGGGGCTTGGAGTTGGGGTGGTGGCGGTGGGCTGGAGAATCACTGGGGCTTGGAGTTGGGGTGGTGGCGGTGGGCTGGAGAATCACTGGGGCTTGGAGTTGGGGTGGTGGCGGTGGGCTGGAGAATCACTGGGGCTTGGAGTTGGGGTGGTGGCGGTGGGCTGGAGAATCACTGGGGCTTGGAGTTGGGGTGGTGGCGGTGGGCTGGAGAATCACTGGGGCTTGGAGTTGGGTGGTGGCGGTGGGCTGGAGAATCACTGGGGCTTGGAGTTGGGGTGGTGGCGGTGGGCTGGAGAATCACTGGGGCTTGGAGTTGGGGTGGTGGCGGTGGGCTGGAGAATCACTGGGGCTTGGAGTTGGGGTGGTGGCGGTGGGCTGGAGAATCACTGGGGCTTGGAGTTGGGGTGGTGGCGGTGGGCTGGCTGGCGACCCAGGGAGAGGCCCGGGGGTCCTGGCTCCGTGGCGCTTACTTCCTGCCCTCCTGCAGGTCAGTGGCCACTTGGACTACGCCAGGCAGATGGACGCCATCCTGCAGGCCGTGGGCATCCGCACCAAGCCCAGCTGGGACGAAAAGGGGCTCTTGCTGGCCCCAGGCAGCCTGCCCCCAGAGGAATCCCGCCAGGCGGCAGCCACCTTTTCATCAGATCAGACCACCAATCAGGATGGACAAACCCAGGGTCCCACGTCCAGAGACACCCCCAAAGCAGCCACACCCCCCGACCTCAGCCAAGCCGAAGTGCCAGCAGGACTGGACCAGTCTGAAGGGGCCTGCCTTCCTGCTGCTACCAGCCCTGCTGAGAGCCCCCCTCTCTGCAGCCACGGCCTGGGCTCCAACCCACTGGGCTGCCCTGACTGTGCCAGTGAGACCCAGGGGCCCTGCCCAGGGCTGGTCTGACCCCAGGAGAGTCGCCTTCCCAGACCCCTACATGGAGCACTCTCTTATCCCGCTCCACCAGCTGCCCCGCCACGAGCTCTGGAGACGGAGAATCTCCGCCACTGCCTTTGCTAAATTGAGGACTTCGTACCGGAAGGAGAGGGGCTTGTAAGGAGACACTGTCCCCTCCCCAAGGAATGGAGGCCAGAGCTCCGCAGAGTCAAGCCAGCACAGTACGGAGCCCTGGGGCTGAACCGGCCAGGTGCCTCCTGTGCTTCGGGTCAGCGCTGGGGGTCTGATTGCCCGTCCAGAGCTCTCTGGAGCACCCTGCCATGCTCTCCAGCCTCAAGAGCCTGCTGTCCGCCCGCCCCTCCAGCCACTGTCCAGGGCTGTGCTCCAGCCCACAGGCACCACGGAAGCACCTGCAGAGCAGGTCCAGGGGGGAGCGGACAGCTTACCCTCTCTGCCCCGGGGAGATCCGATGAGATGTGTCGCATGCAGCCATCCAGGCTGAGCCCTGCTCAGCCACGGGAGCAGCCATCAGAAACAGGTGACATGAAGGCCCGCCCCCCTGAAGTTATGCCACGTGGGGGCCTGAATATAATGGTTCCAGAGCAGGGCGAACAAACGCTGGATCGGCAGGCGGTGTGGACAGAGACTGGGCCTGGAACCCGAAGGAAGTATTTGGGGGCAGAATTTCCTATGGCAGGAACAGAGGTGTGATGATCGTAATAATAGATAATAATACTCACTACCATTTATTAAGTGTTTACCGTGTGCAGAGTGCTTTACATGAATTGTCTCAGTTGACCCTCGTAACAACCCAGTGAGGTAGGTACTAGTATTGTCTTCATTTTCACTGTCAGGCCCAGAGCGTTTAGGGAAGCTGCCGAGATCACACAGGTGATCAGTCTCAAAACCCAGCCAGTTAACCTCCAGAGCCCGAGCTCTTAGTCACAGTAAGTGCATCCCTGCAGCCTTCCTCCTTGGGCCTCCCACTGGCCCTGGGTGGCCGAGCCAGAGACGCTCCCCTTCCCGCACTGTGCATTCGGGGAACCCGAAGCCCAGCAGAGAAGACTGACAAACCCGGGGAGGCAGCTGGGACTGGAGAGAATCGGGGAGTGCCGGAGCGGAACTGGTCCTCAGGGGGGTGTGTATTCGTTCCTTCAGCAAATATTCACAGAACCCCTGCTGCTGTTGGTCCAAACCGCTCAGGTCTCCCGTGGAAGACCGATGCCCCGAGAGAGGAAAGGACGTTGCTGAGGTCCCAGAGCAAGCTCGGGCAGAACACAGGGCGCCCGCACCCGGAGTCTCCTCCCACCTCACCAGCGGCTTCTCCAGCCCGAGTGTCCCTTCAAGCAGGTTCTGTCCACCCCGCAGTCACTGGCTCAGCTCGGGCTTACTGAGCGCCCACCGGGGCAGGCCTGGGGGTAGAGAGGGAGCCCCGACAAGCACCGTGGCCCCTCTACAATCAGTGGCCTGGCCAGAATGGAGTCTGCTCAGCACCACGGAGGGCACCAGGCCGCCCGTGGAGGCCCCTGGGGTTGGGGTGGATAGAACTGGTGGGAGGATGGGAGGGAGGCAGGCGATGAGGAAGGAAAACCTCAGCGTGGAAAGGAACCTAAAGCGGGTGAACTCTGGGAACCAAGAGCTCCCCGTCAGAAAAAAGAAAAACACAAGTCCTGTGCCAGAGTCCAGCTGCCTCCCCCAGGGCCCCCCCCGAACCAGGGATGCTCCCCTACAACTCTGCTGACCCAGCGCCCACGCCCGCTTCCCTCACTGACCCCAGGGCAGGCCAGAAGGCAGCGGGAGAGGGACTGGTTCTGTCCTCATCAGATGGTTCGCTTCTAGGCCCAAGGGAGCCCACGGTAGGGAACACCCATCCTTGATCTTGAGCAAGAACCCAGCAGCCACCCATGTGCCCCCAGGAGGGGCAGGGCAGCAGTCTAGGGAGGAGTTGGGGATACAGTCAGATCGTGGGCTGTGGGCCGGGGCTGAAGAGGAGGAGGACGGTGGGGGTAAAAAGGTGGGAACAAGTGGCCCTTGCTGGCCCTCTGCCAGGCCAGGGGTTGGATAACAAAGCAGGGACCACCCACTGACCACCTGCCGAGTGCTGGGCATTCTGTGCCCGGAACGCCCGAGGAGGAGGCATTATTTCCCCATTTGCATGCGGAATGCCAGGCTCAGAGCAGTTAAGTAACTTGTACACGGGCTGGAAAGCGGTTCAGACTTTGCCTGCCTGACTCCGAGGCTCAGATGTTTGCTATGCAGCGCGTGAATCCTGAGAGCAGCTGGTCTGAAAACTGTCTAGCCAGCCATTGTCAGGGTTAAAGATCCCCTGAGCCAGCACATCTCAAACCATAATGTGCACACGATTCACCTGGCAACCAGCAGGTCTGGGGTAGGGCAGGGACATGCACTTCTAACAGACTCCCGGGACCTGATGCTGATGGTCATGGCCCGCAGAGCAAGGGATCTGGCCCAGCGCTGAGCCACCTCTGCAGACAGAGGCATGGCTCCCACGCAGTCTGATAGGATGTGCAAGGGAGATGATTAACTGCATCCTAAGCTGGACCAAGAGGGCTTTACCCCACTCCCAGGAGTCCTCCAACCTCGCTCTCCACACACCCACCAGTTACACTCAGCAGTGACCCCTCCTGGAGAAAACTGTCCTGAAGCCAGCGACTAGGCCTCCAGGTTGGAGACCCACAGTGGGCAGTGGGGTGCCGACTCAGTGCAACCCACTGGAGCTCAGAAGGCTCCCCGGAAGACCTGGAGCCTCCTGGTTTTAGCCAAGAGCTGGTCCAAGGCCTTGGGGGTCCTGGTCCCATCCAGTCCAGCTCTCAAAGCCCGCATCAATTCGTGGGGGTCCCAGGGGGACACGGCCGCAGCTCGGGCTCCGTGCGATCGATGCTGAAGAAGTTGACTGCCGTAGTGGCCCTGGCAGGCGGGGGGGCATCCTGGGCGGCCTCGCCAGGTGGCAGCAGCTGGGCCGTGAGCCGCGGGCCAGAGAAGCCCCCAGAGCCCGGGTCCGGGTCCGAGTCCGAGTCTGGCGGCCGGGGAAGGGGAAGCACGTGCTGCAGGCTCAGGCCGGGCCGCGGGCCGCTGCGAGAGGTCCGCACGGAGGGCGAGGCGAGGCCCGGCTGGCGCTCCCGGGGGCCGCGGGGACACGGCAGGAGCCTGCCCAGGGCCCGCTTGAAGTCCCGCATGAAGAGCGGGTAGATGATGGGGTTCATGGTGCTGTTGCAATAGCCCAGCCACGTGAGGACGTCAAAGAGCCCGGGGGGGATGCAGCCGCACACGGCCTGGAGGAGTGGGGGGGACACCCTGGAGCCGGGATGCAGAGCACCCGGGGGAGATGCAGCCGCACACGGCCTGGAGGAGTGGGGGGACATCCTGGAGCCGGGACGCAGAGCACCCGGGGGAGATGCAGCCGCACACGGCCTGGAGGAGTGGGGGGACATCCTGGAGCCGGGACGCAGAGCACCCGGGGGAGATGCAGCCGCACATGGCCTGGAGGAGTGGGGGGACATCCTGGAGCCGGGACGCAGAGCACCCGGGGGGGATGCAGCCGCACACGGCCTGGAGGAGTGGGGGGGACACCCTGGAGCCGGGACGCAGAGCACCCGGGGGAGATGCAGCCGCACACGGCCTGGAGGAGTGGGGGGACATCCTGGAGCCGGGACGCAGAGCACCCGGGGGAGATGCAGCCGCACAGGGCCTGGAGGAGTGGGGGGGACACCCTGGAGCCGGGACGCAGAGCACCCGGGGGGGATGCAGCCGCACACGGCCTGGAGGAGTGGGGGGACATCCTGGAGCCGGGACGCAGAGCACCCGGGGGAGATGCAGCCGCATACGGCCTGGAGGAGTGGGGGGGACATCCTGGAGCCGGGACGCAGAGCACCCGGGGGGATGCAGCCGCACACGGCCTGGAGGAGTGGGGGGGACATCCTGGAGCCGGGACGCAGAGCACCCGGGGGGATGCAGCCGCACACGGCCTGGAGGAGTGGGGGGGACATCCTGGAGCCGGGACGCAGAGCACCCGGGGGGATGCAGCCGCATACGGCCTGGAGGAGTGGGGGGACACCCTGGAGCCGGGACGCAGAGCACCCGGGGGAGATGCAGCCGCATACGGCCTGGAGGAGTGGGGGGACACCCTGGAGCCGGGACGCAGAGCACCCGGGGGAGATGCAGCCGCACACGGCCTGCAGGAGTGGGGGGGACACCCTGGAGCCGGGACGCAGAGCACCCGGGGGAGATGCAGCCGCACACGGCCTGGAGGAGTGGGGGGGACATCCTGGAGCCGGGACGCAGAGCACCCGGGGGGGATGCAGCCGCACACGGCCTGGAGGAGTGGGGGGGACATCCTGGAGCCGGGACGCAGAGCACCCGGGGGGATGCAGCCGCATACGGCCTGGAGGAGTGGGGGGACACCCTGGAGCCGGGACGCAGAGCACCCGGGGGAGATGCAGCCGCACATGGCCTGGAGGAGTGGGGGGGACATCCTGGAGCCGGGACGCAGAGCACCCGGGGGGGATGCAGCCGCACAGGGCCTGGAGGAGTGGGGGGGACATCCTGGAGCCGGGACGCAGAGCACCCCTCCCTCCCTCCCCCATCTCTGGGGGATTCGGGGGCTCCCCAGCAAGGCGGGGACTCGCCCACCCCCAGCAGCGGCATTACCTGGACTATGTTGGCCACAAAGAAAGGCAGCCAGGTCACAAAGAACATGCCCAGCAGGATGCCCAGGGTCAGGCTGGCCTTCAAGGCCTTCCTGCTGTGCTTGGCGGCCAGACGCCTGCTGTCAGCTGACTCCGCCCCTGGGCGTGGGGTCCTGGGCACCTGCAGAGAGGAAGGCCAGGTGATTTGGTCTGAGCCTACTCCTGGCCCCAGACTGAGCCTTAATCCTAATTCTAGACCGAGCCCTTAATACACTGACTTGACCCTTGAATGGGCTCCAGTTGTAGTCCTAGGCTGAGCTCTGACCCCGACTCCAGGCTGCACCTTGACCTTGCCTTCAGATTGAGCTCTTCAGCAATAAACTAAGCTCTGCTCATGGCCCTGACCCCTGATGCCTACCATAGATTGAGCCCTACATACCCATAGTCCGAAACTGACCCTCCGCCCTGGGCCAGACTGAGCCCAACTTTAGCCCCAGACTGAGCCTTGATCCCAGAAATAGACTGAGCCTTTGTCCTGGCCCTGCACCAAGCCCTGAGCCTGACTTGGCGTGCACAAGGGGCTCTAGGAAGTGCGGTGAGGTTTCCTAGGGGCCTATGATCATGGGTGTTGGCGGTGTCATGTGTTGTCCTTTGCAGGGAGGGGGGGGTCTTCTGACCTGCTGGGTTTGTGTCTGGGCACAGTGTTGTCCTGCAGTGCACTTGGGCACCTCAAGAATTAGCTGCAATCGAACAGTACTTGACGAACGAGGACAGCTGCTGTCCAAGGCTTGACAATCTCTTTGCCTATGAATTGATTCTCTTCATATTTTGGAGTGACAGTTTTGCGCCACTGTTTTCATGATCCACAAAATAAAGTTTATTTTGAAACATGTGCCCCAAACAAATGTGTGCAATTAAGTATCTTATAAATCACTAGGGATGGGAGTGACCTTGGTATTTTAAACTTGGATTTCATTGTGGACTTAACAGACATCTTTTATTCCCACACATGGACTTCATGAGCAGGAGCTTGGAGAAGAGGAAAAAGGAGAGGCTCCATGGGGGAAAAGGCATGAGGGGCCCAAATGTGACTTTTATAAACTGGAGACCAGGAGTCCCAAAACATTAAAAGGCTCTCTGTACCGGATGGCCCACTAGCCCAGTGGTTCTCTTAACTTTTTCAACTTTGTGAGCCCACTGAAATTCAAATGAAATCTACACAACTCACTCTCCAGAAAACAAAAAGCTTGTAAATGTTTACAAACACACAACACACACATTTACATACACACACAGAAGAAAAAATTTGCCACGTAGCCAGAGAATTCAGAGAACCACTGTGAAGTCCAACCCTGAAACCTCCAGGAATCCACAGAAGCTGCAATGTGAAGCCCTCCTCTAAACCATGTGTTGTAATCAACTTGGATTTTCATATGTCCGCTTTACACAAAGTGAAACCCACCTTTGCTGACAGCTGATGTAAACACTGGGGTGAGCATAATTCACTGGACTGTGAAAGGATATGTGTGCTGCCTGGGAATACACCTGGGCTTTAAAGGCCAGAGACTCCCCCCAACACTTCCTAAACTGTGTGAGAGCCCCGCTTAGCTCTTGAGGCAACGAGAGACAGGTTGGGTGCGGGAGGATGAAAGTCAGGAGGAGGCAGGAAGAAAGGAGCCAGGTTCCCAGGCAACCTTCGCAGATGGAAAGGGGGCGGAGGAGGCAAAGCCAAGATGCGTGAGCCCCGGGGTGCATTACAGCCACCCCCCACCCCTCACCCCATGCAGGAACTCCCCCTCCCAGCCTTGTTCTCACTCCCTCTCCTCAGGCGACCCAGGCTTGGCTCCTGTCCATGGTGCTGAAACCCCAGCTGCACCCTGTCCTATAGGCTCTGCAATGGCGGTGGGCAGGAGAGGGGAGACAGGTACCCTCTAACTCCCGCCTTTCCATGTATTTGTCCAGGTGAAACCCGGTTAGGCAAATACAAGGCTCACACAGGGGAGCCTAAAAGAGGCCCTTGATTCTTCCCGCGTTCTTGGTGGGGCACAGAGGCGAGAGCTGGGCTTTTAAAACAAGTGATCTGGCTTCAAATCGTGCCTCTATCACTCAGTGATCTTGAGAGAGTCAGTTTCCACATTTGTCAAATGGGAGGAAACGCTCAGCTTACGGAGTTGCCGTGAGGCTGTGGATAATACACATATGCCCTGTGCTGGACACGGAGTTAATGCAAGCACACAGCAGCCCTAACGTTGTTCAGTGGTGTGTGGATGAGGCTGGGGAAGTTTGTGGCACCCTCGGGAGCCTTGTCCTTCCGCCAAGAGCTCAGGCTTTCCAAAGCAGTGCGGATCTCAGGACAAATGCTCTGACTCACTACGGGGCAGCCGGGGAGAAAAGAGGGTCTGCTCTTCTCGCCCCTTCTCATCTCTTCTCCAGCGTGGACTCTCTATGGCTTCTGTGGCCCCACCTGGTCAGCCTAGAGGGAGAGACACCTGCTTCCCCAAAAGAATCTCCTAAGAGCCGCTCTGACTTTAAATTGCTGCCGTCAATGGGGACAGACACAAGGCGAGGAGGGAGACACCATCTCCCACGGGCCCCAGCCACACAGGTAGCCCCTCACCCCTGGGAGCCTGGTGTGGAGGCGAGAGACAGCCATGGTCTTGCCAGGGCTCTCGGGCACTGGGGAACCAAGGCACTCTGGAAGATAAGACAGGGGCCGTCATCACAGGAGGGCGACCCAGAGGGGTCAACCATGATCTGAGAGCCCTCTCCAGTCTTCCTGGGAAGAAACCTGCATTTTCCTGCCTCTTCTTCTCCCCCAAAGAATCGACTCAAGAAAACAGGCAAGAGGGAAGAAATTGAGGCTCAGAGAAAGTAGGGGACCTTCCCAAGGTCACACTGTGCTCAAACCAAAGCACCACAGACCCCTACATTGTTACCCCCACTTCCTGAGTGCTTACAATGCATCTGCACCTGATATGCATTCTGTCATTCGGTCTTTCTGAGAGGAAGGTAAACCTTCATCTTGCAAATGAGGTGCAGAGAGACAAAATAACTAGCCAGGAGTCACACAGCAGACAAGAGTTGAGTCAGGGAACTCTCTAACAAGAGTTAAAGTCACCTCCGGCTCCAGACGCTGAGCCCCCTCCACTTTACCATGCTGCTTCCATTGTGGAGGATGACAGCCCCAGGCGAAACCCCACCACTCTCACCGAGAGGCCCTCGTGGAACAGAAGCCAAGGGCCACCTCCAGCCCACACGCTGGGGTCTGGGTGATGCCACCCTTCCCACTTCTCTCTGCCCTAAAGCCACCCCATGATCGCTCGTGGCAGGTTCCGTCGTCTGCAGGCCCCTTGTATCAGAACACTTCTGTGGCATTTGCCTCCGTCAGAGGGCAGCCATCGGCGGACAATTTGGCAGCGCCCTTCCAGGAGGGAAGTCTGCTTGCGGGTTCCGATGTCACAAGTGCATCAGAGGAGAGTGGTTAAATAAACCCTGGTTTAGAATACTGTAGTGAAAGTCGCTCAGTCGTCTCTGACTCTCTGTGACCCCATGGACTGTACACAGTCCATGGGATTCTCCAGGCCAGAACACTGGAGTGGGTAGCCCTTCCCTTCTCCAGGGGATCTTCCCAACCCAGGGATGGAACTCAGGTCTCCCACATCACAGGCGGATTCTTTACCAGCTGAGCCACCAGGGAAGCCCCAGAATATTATACAGATGTTTAAAAGGATAAATACATTCCCACTGTAAAATACTATACGGATGCTTAAAAGGATAAATACATTCCCACTGTAAAATACTATACGGATGCTTAAAAGAATGAATCAGTCACACACAGAAAGATCTCCACGACACATGAGCAAATGCTAACAACAAGTTGCAAAACAAGAGAGACAGCATGAAGGAAAGAGAGAGCGAGAGAGAGCGAGAGAGCGAGAGCGCGTGGTCACCTCTGCTTAAAAAAGGCACAAAGCGAGGCACTAAGTTTCTTTAGGCAAAAAAATCCACAAACATAAACAAACACACAACATAAACACACAGATATAAACAAACACACAACATAAACACACAAACATAAACAAACACACAACACAAACACACAAACATAAACAAACACACAACATAAACACACAGACATAAACAAACACACAAACATAAACAAACACACAACACAAACACACAAACATAAACAAACACACAACATAAACACACAGACATAAACAAACACACAACACAAACACACAAACATAAACAAACACACAACATAAACACACAGACATAAACAAACACACAACATAAACACACAAACATAAACAAACACACAACATAAACACACAAACATAAACAAATACACAACATAAATACACAAAGATAAACATACAAACATAAATTCACAACATAAACAAATCCACAAAATAAACACACAAACATAAACAAATACAGGACATAAACACACAAACAAATACACAACATAAACACACAGACATAAACAAATATACAACATAAATACACAACATAAACAAATAAACAAACACACAAACATAAACAAATACAGGACATAAACACACAAACAAACACACAACATAAACACACAGACATAAACAAATATACAACATAAACAAACACACAAACATAAACACATACACAACATAAACACACAAACATAAACACATCCACAAGCACAGAGAAAGAACTGGAGCGACATGGAGGGACAGGACTGGGAGGTGACTGGATGAGGTCAGTGGGCTCTTTTACTTTACCGCTACTGATGAATTTTCATTTTGAGGTGTACTGACAGATCCCCTCGTGTAATCTCCAATTTGTATGACCATCTAGCCACGCGTGTGCTCAGTCACCCTGTTTGTGTCCAGCTCTTTGAGACCCCACGGAGTGTAGCCCACCAGGCTCCTCTGTCCATGGGATTTTCCAGGCAAGAATACTGGAGCAGATTGCCATCTCCTACTCCAGGGGATCTTCCTGACCCAGAGTTCCAACCCACATCTCTTGCACCTCCTGCATCAGCAAGCGGAATCTTTATCACTGCGCCCCTGGGAAGCCCAGCCATCTAATCATAGTGTGAGGGTGATAAGACAGACCTTGGGGCCAGACTGCCCGGTTCAAACCATGACTGTTACTAACTGAGCAGCCCTGAGCAGGGTACTTCACCTCTCCGGGCCTCAG